ATGAAGAACAGGATCACTCGATATGACCACCAGAAATCAAAACTACGTAAAATGAAGATAAATCAGCAATCAAAAATGCCTAGGAATATCAGGGAGTTGATCACAATTCAGAAAATATAGACGCGAGCGAGACCGTGGGTTTTTAGTTCGAATCCTATGAGCTTGTTCGTGGATGCGCACTGCTGACGAGTCACATACCAGAACGAAACGGCCGTCCAATTTTTCCAGATTTTTTATGGTAGTCTAGCTTCAATTGACTAATGAACTCAACTATTAAGATATCAATAAAGATTGAGAAAACAAAAGGCAGATAAAATATATGTGGATACAGAGAGCAATGGAGGACGCGTTACATGGAAAAAGAGAAACAAGGAAAGGCTACCACAAATAATGTGATGATGAAGTGACCTTCTCACACTCGACTATCAACATGCCAGAGCATCTTGCAATCGGAATCACTGCTCTATATTCACGGAGTAGAACAGGATAGGTTGTGAAAGGCGTTTTCATTATAATTGGCTCACAAGTGTATTATCACGACAAGAGAGGAAATATATGCAAAAATGTAAAACAACCATAATCCAAATATATCAACAGAAATTATATAGAGTTATATGGTATATAAAATTAAGGAATTTTCTTTGGAATATTAAATGATACGGTGGACAATTGAGATTCTGTGGATACGACGGAATGAAATAATCGTGGTATCCATACCTTAGCAGTAACCCTTAAAACTAACAAAGCACTATACGGATTTATACGTATCACCCTCATCAAGTCTCCCAATTTCGTGAAGAACGGGGTTTAGGGTGTAGATCACCAACGTAGATGATCTATGTCGAAATGATTGGAGGCCTACTCGAGTTAGACGTGAATAGTGTGACGAACCAACTAACGTCGAAGTCACACCTCGTGGTCAGCACCTTACGTGGACTACCCCCATTGACGTAACAAGGTACTATAGATGCTTTGAAGACTGTACAACACAAAGGACGTTATTACAGAAATATATTAGTTAAGGTAGATACAGGCGAAAGTAAGACCACTGCCGCATGGGCCAGTCCATGGCGTATGGTTAACTAATGCGCGTTGCTTGTACATGACCTTGGCAGGGAGCGACGATCTGTTCGACATTCAGTGATCCAACTGCCGGATGATTCGGCTAGGGCTCAGTGACATTTCACTGGCTCTACAATACTCCCCCACCAGATTCAACGGCCGTTTGAATCGGTACCAAACATGTTGGGAGCAGTCGCGCGCCGGAGAGTGCCAGACGAATATTATAAATTCTCCAGGTATTGCTTATCTGTAAAACAAATGGAAAGGAGGCGGCAGAAACTGGTCGGGAAACAGCGAGTCGTAATATGTTAGTAGGACGTTGCTTAAATGTAAATTGATTAACCATAGAAATAATGAAAAGAACAAAACGTTTTAATGTTGCATCAAGTCGCGCTGAAATAATATAGCCTTGATAAGTAATTCAGTTCTGGAGAACTCCAAAAGCCATCATCCAGAAAATACAGGTGTTTATCAACAATTGTCTACGCAAAATACTTCAGATCCATTGGCCGGACACTATTAGCAACAACGTACTGTGGGAGAGAACAAACCAGATCCCAGTGGAGGAAGAAATCAGGAAGAAGCGCTGGAAGTGGATAGGACACACATTGAGGAAAGCACCCAACTGCGTCACAAGACAAGCCCTCACATGGAATCCTGAAGGTCAAAGGAAAAGAAGAAAACCAAAGAACACATTACGCCGAGAAATGGAGATAGACATGACAAAAATGAACAAGAATTGGATGGAACTAGAAAAGAAGGCCCAGGACAGAGTGGGTTGGAGAATGCTGGTCAGCGGCCTATGCTCCATTGGGGGTAACAGGCGTAAGTAAGTAAGTAAGTAAGTAAGTAATTCAGTTCCTCCGATGACAAACGTTAAGTCTGCCGCAAGAGTAATAATGCTATAGCGATAGTAGGATAACTGTATTATCAATCGATGTCCATGTTTGTACTGTCATTAGTTTAAAGTTGTAAGTCGGACAGCATCGTTGACAGCTATTAATTAGTGCCGAATTCTAGTTATATCTATATCTAACAGACTAACCGTAAGTACAGAAGTATAACAGTGAAGAGTAGTCGTGATCTCGTTGTGCGAAGCTATTGACCAACTTGTAGTCACAGTCTGAAAAGTCGATGACTGCTGCTACAGTCAGTAAGGGTTGAAGACTACAAATCGACAGCAAAGGTGGCACGATGAAGTCTCTAAAAGATGATAAACGGTAAGTGCTGCGTGTTTTTTCGGTTAGTGAACAGAAAAATATCGAAAAGAACATAAGAAACCAAGAGTGTCACTCTGGACTCATGTCAATGATACCCGTGAAAAACGCTGTCAGTATTGGGATAGAGGCGACAATGTCGTTTTAAGTTTGCAGGAGGTTCGCTTGACTGCATAAACTGATGATTCGCGCGAATGATAATATCGTCAGACCACCAACTGAACTGGACAGGTTGTAAATCGTCGAGTAAATGAACAACCGATTGATGTACCGAAATCATCGGTGAGATAACAGCCACGAGGAAACAATACTTCATAAAATAAAGTACGACATCGAAGTAGAACAACTACAATAGTTCAGATGTGTTACAATGTCAAGTCTAAATAACATCGTTCTTACGTATACTGACAGTTGCACTGAACGTTCGCTTAGGTATGATTAGCGTAACAGTTGGATGTGTGAATAAAAACATATACGAAAACTATGGTTGGGTTCGTGGAGAATTTTGAGGACGTTTAGATATTTTCCAAACCCGTATCGCATGTAAATAAACCGAAAATAGAATTAAAATGACTGTTAAGTAATAAGGAAATCGAGCCATGATTTACCGTGTGAATTATTAGCAAATACAAGGGGTATAATAAACATTAATTAAAATGGTAACCACCAATGTAACTAAGGTTTAGAGGGTCCAGGTAACGTGGCCATTTCGCAAAAGGATGATACAAAGAGCTTATTACCTAGCATTAAGTGACATATTAAGTACGACAACATGTTTACTTGGGATATGGACTAAGCGTGCTCGTGTACATGAAATATGTTTTACCACAGTATGTCGACTAACGAGTCACAAATGTACATGATTTCGACTAAAACTTGACGGCAGTGACAGAATATATGACTAGTTTACGTGAAAGCAACTACGAAATGTTATCACGCATCATAAATATAGTACGAAATAATCTAATGAAATTATGAAACTCGCCTGGGTTACTTTTGCCTTTAAGTAATGAAGTAGGCAGTAGTTTGAATCTGGATTATGTACGAGGTACTGTTGATTAAATTTTTCGATTAACACAGAGTTGTAGACTGACGAACAGTCTAAACGAGATCTAAGATCGCAGGAAATTTATAGTTCAAACTCACCGTGAATTTCTAGCATTCGTATCCTCTGTTTGGCCATGGAACTCAGCAATTTGAAATTAGGCAGGCAGTGGTAAAAAAAAATAGCAGAACATTCTAGTGGATAGTGGTTAAGCAGAAAGATGAATTTATAGTCGATAGTTAATCTTGTCTTATTTATACCAGTGGATAAGGTACAAAGAGATATGCGTTCGTGTTGCCTTGTGGCTATACTCACGAGTGGTTGATATTTTAACAGACATATTACACAGGAGCATTTACATGCTGCTAATGCTTGTTAAAGAACCACGATAGCCGATTATAATCGTAGTTGATTGGTTAGTTCTGTCGATTGAACTAAGTATTTAAGTTTAAATACTAATCAGCATTGACATGAAGCAACGAAAGTTCACAATGATAGATTAACATAGGCGATGATAAAAATGAAAAAGAATAAGTATAGAATACAATAATAAAGATTATAGTGATAGGTTGCGTTATTCGAAGTCTTGCTCACCAGTGTAGATCACCAACATAGATGATCTATGTCGAAATGATTGGAGGCCTACTCGAGTTAGACGTGAATAGTGTGACGAACCAACTAACGTCGAAGTCACACCTCGTGGTCAGCACCTTACGTGGACTACCCCCATTGACGTAACAAGGTACTATAGATGCTTTGAAGACTGTACAACACAAAGGACGTTATTACAGAAATATATTAGTTAAGGTAGATACAGGCGAAAGTAAGACCACTGCCGCATGGGCCAGTCCATGGCGTATGGTTAACTAATGCGCGTTGCTTGTACATGACCTTGGCAGGGAGCGACGATCTGTTCGACATTCAGTGATCCAACTGCCGGATGATTCGGCTAGGGCTCAGTGACATTTCACTGGCTCTACAAGGGTAACTTATTTAATTGTAATCAGTAAAGCATATAAAGAGGGGAATTCCACTTTAAATTTTTATTAAACATAAAGGACCCAGAAGGGATTAAAAATTTGAGTATGTGATTATGAGCTTGTTTAAAAGGGAACTCCGTGACTAACCGCAGTAAGCTTCATTTAAAGTAATTTTACCCAGTTCTGTCACGTTCAGTCACCATATTAACTGGTTATTGGAACAAATTCATAGGTTACAAATTTTTAGAATCTCATGGTCAGCTTGATCCTTGAAGTAAGAATCAAGACAACCGTGGAACACCAGCCCATAAAAGCATCTCAGTTTTTCATTTAAATTTTATACCTAATACATAACACACCAGGAATATGAATCCAAACAACGATTCGATGTCTTTAATATTTTTGAAAAGGTTCAAAAATAAAGACTCAGTGGTAAAATGACTCTTTGGTTCTTTATGAAAGTTGAGGTTGAAATGACCCGAAATTTAAGGCCAGCATGCTCAAGTGTGATAGGTAAAATACAGTTCTGGGAATCGCGAAAAATTGTGTAGTCTTTTGACCTCCTTTCGTAGCTTATGAAGGTCGAATTATCAACATATCATCAGTTTCACTAAATAAAATATTCGCTAATGCTAACCGTTCGTCTATAAAACCAAAATCACTATTATAGAAGGGATTTTGTTTTAGCTAGTCTTTGAAAATTTGGCGTCCTTATCGAACGTCTTTGGTCTTGAGGTATGTTATTGCCTAACGTTGTCATTTGTTGTCTGTTGACAACTCCCAGAATTAACACCATTTAATTGTAGGACTGTCTTATGGAGACATATTCTCAACTAAATCGTGCTCAGCTCAGTTATGACTATCTCCATACCAACTCGTAATTTCATCTTGAAATAACTGGATTTATTTTTAGAACGACACATGAATTCCTTTTCGGTGCTATTGCGGAACTTATTGATAATGCACGTGATGCTGGAGCAACAGAGTTGGACATATTCACAAGTGAGCTTTGAGTCTTCTTATTAGTAAAATTGCAGTTAAAGACAGCTCTGTGCGTGGTAACTTTCTTCTCTGCTTTGCAGACAACGGCTGCGGTATGACACCAGGTTAGTACAATTATTTTGTTTATTAGCTTAAGATGATGTGAAAAATGTCATAATTTTTGGGAAGTCTTTAAAGAAGTGTGAGGATACTGCCGCTATTGGTATGTATGGAAACGGCTTGAAATCGTAGGTTTGATAATAGTAATTACCCTACTATCTTTTATAGTGGTTCTATGCGCATTGGAAACGACTTAGTTTTGTTTACTAAAAAGGATGGTATTTACACCTGTCTATTCTTATCAAGGACTTTTCATGAAGAAGAAAAACTTGATGAGGTTATACTTTGACTCTTAATATTCATGTCTTGTAGGTAGTTGTCCCAATGCCCTCTTTTAGAGGTCCTGAGAAGACCCCTATCGCAGAGACTCCCGAGGATAAGAAAAAGGTAGGTTTGTTTTGTCCATAATGTTTCCTTAGCATGACCTCGAAATGCATTTAATCCTGAAGTACTCACCATTCCGCTGCCTGAAGGATTTCTATGCACAGTTCGATAAACTTAAAGAGAGTTCAGGAACCGTTGTGATTATATATAACATGAAACTTCTTGATCATGGAGGACCTGAGTTGGATGTCACTACGAACCCACGTGACATTCTACTTAGTCCGGGACCAGAACAAGAAGAAACCGTTGAACCTGATGCTGAGGTTATGTAAGTAGAATATTCTTTTTCTCTTCTTAACAACTTGTATTTTACAAATGATCATTCGGTTGTTTGACCAGTCAAAGCGTAACCTGATATACGGACTGCCAATAAATGCTAGGTTAGGCTTGAAAATGTCCAATAAATGCAAAGTCTGATCGTTCTGGTTGTACATTCTCAGAACCCAAATTTATTTGAAGGGAACTAACAATGTGGCTCTAAAATACTGGTACTATAATTCCCTGGTTTTTATCCCTGTCAGTAATTAACTCTTCTTGTATACCATTTTCTTCCACTCATTTTCAATCGTGTTAAAATGGTATGCCAACCCCAACCATTATACTTGCGTACTAATTTGCACTAGGTTTTCATTTTCGGAGGCGTCAACGCATCAAGTTTAGGTATGGGTTACACGTACTTAGTGTTGTGTTGTAAGAGGGGTTGTTAACAGTGGATATTAGCATTGACTCATGATTTTGTTAAATCACTAGAGCTCGATTAGTAATTTTGTATCAAAGCTAGCTCTCTTCTTTATGTCCTGTCTAGTTTATGAGGACCTACGTTTTCAATCTAAAGTGACTCATAGAGTGTAACCACTCGTGTATTGAAAATTTCCAAATGTAGCTGCCGGAATAGACTTTATCATCTGAGTTAACCGTAGTTATCACTTCTTGTAGCCATAGTATTAATAGGTGTGTGATGCAACCTCATCAACGATAAAGATTCCAAATTCTCGAAAGTAAATCTGTATATCAGTTGGACTATCTAATCAGTTAACACACTACTTTTTGCTTATCATCTGAAAGCAACTAAACGATATCTCTCCACCGTGAATAATATGAAAACTCAACCGTTCATATTACCCATTAAGTTATTGTTTTTTCCTTCTAACAAGCGGAAAATATTATACACGAACTTTTTTAATTTTCCTTTTTGCTGAACAATTAGAGGGTAAGTTTTAGATTTCATGTGCTTGATCTACGTTTTCCGTGTAAGTTTCAGTGTTACACCTGTTGTCATGTTTTTTTTCTTTATTTTCTCACTGGGAATTGATTACTAATGGTACTGACATTAAAACTTCCTATTCCTCATAACTTATGAATTATGAAAATAAAAACGAGTAAAATAAGCTTTAGACACGAATTAATCTTCCAGAGGCCATTGTTTCTTGGTTTTTTCGTTTAGACAACTGTAAACTCCCGTGGCTAAGAATCTAAACAGTACAATGTCACTGGTTGCAATAACCTTACGTTTTTGCTTTTTCATTCCCACTACTTGCATGTATACTAGAATATAGACGTCATTTAAAATGATCTCAGTGGTTATATCGAAAAGCAGTACCAACCCATAAGATAACCGTCTGTCTCTGAGTTAGCGGGTAAAACTAGGCTCTTTGGTGTCAAACAGTAAAAATTAGCTGTAAATCTCCCAAAAACTGATCATGATTTAAATTCTCTCAACACTCTCCCCGGATTCTTGTTATTCTCTAAAATTGTTATGTGCGTATAGTTCCAACGGAAAATTATGATAGGAGTAAATCATAAAAAATAACTGGAAAACGGTTGCGTTTAAGTAAGACTCATGTTGTTTTCTGAAACAATAGTTTTGGCAAAAAATTGTAAACTACCTAATATGGGGCAACTGTTATAAATTTTCCTGAAGTGTATTAAACATTCGGTGTTCAATTTCAGGCAGATAAAATCACCTCTCACTTTCCTCGACCAAATGTTTTTATGATCAAACGAAATCTATCAAACATATCTAATACCCTCTTCACATTTTCTGCTGCCTTTCGAAGGTTTTCTCATTTCAGTTGCTATGAATTCTGTCTGTACAATCTTCTAAACTAGTTATAATTCAGAGGTTATGTGTGGATTGTTTAATCTGGCATGTTTCCTGATTAATTTTACTGATGATTTTAATAGACACTTAAGTTCACCGGGAGAAATTTTAGTTTCAGTAATTACCAATAATCTAAACATCAGGAATTCAAACTTTGGTGTCGTTCCGTTGATAAGTAATAAAAGAAATAAGTGTAATTGTTAAGGAAAAATTATTAAAATTTCTGAATCCAAACTTTACATGTATGGGTATTACTTCGTAAGCTCCATTTTTATCGTTTGACCCAAGTATGACATTTAAAACAGTGAGCTATACTACTTGTCCACGTCATAAAGCTGGTGTAACGTCCATTTAAAGATAACATCTATCTTCTAAATATGGCTTTTATGTTTTCAAATAGTTGTACTCGTATTTCAGAGATCTTTGGCGCCAGAATATAGTCCAAAAAGATAGGATACATTTTTGAGGTAGAACGTATAAAGTAGTAGAGAAAAACACGTGACCTAAGTACCCCACTAATGAACTGTAGGACTCTTCAAAATCCGGTTCATCACATGACAAATACACGTTATTTGGACATAAAAACGTTTTATCCCTTTTAAATTTCATAGAAAGGACAAATCAAGCTTACATTCTAAAAAAGCAACTTCTTATTTCATCCGTTTCTTTACAGTTGTATCGCTCTTGTCTCGATTTCTATTAGATTATACTCCTCTTCCTTACGTCCCGTTTTTTTCATTAATTTCCTCAGAATGTGTGATGTCACAACTTGAACTGACCCAAATGTACCTAGTCTTAAATTGACTAGAACTGGTTTTAATAAGTCTGGTATATTGTAAGTTTAAAGCGATAGGAGCAAAATAAATAAAGACAGAAGAGAAACACTCACTGTTTATAGTTTGCTAGCTACTTCGTGAATGTCATTAACATAAAACTTAAAAGCGAGTGAGTAGATTAGGCAACTATCTCACTCGTTGATTTCAACTTGTGGAGAGATACACTTGTATACTCCTATTTTGTATAGAGTTATCAATGCATTGATAGATCTTTCAGACAACGATTTCTAAGCTTAATCCCAACAAGTTAGTCAGACTTAATATCAAGGAATAAAACTTTCTGGTTTATACTATGTGATGTCCAAGCGTCTGACAAAGACTGAATGACTTGCCTAGCAGCCTCATAAACCAATCATTTACACATCAGAGAAAAAAACACGACATATAAACACCGATTTAATTTGATACAACAATGCCGAATAAAATTAAAACCTATATAGTTCATCGCCTTGTAGTAGCAGACATTGATTTACCTAAACTATTCAACATTCTTTTTTGTCAAATGGCAACTATACAGATGCACGCTTTCTTCCTATTCGAAAAGTTTATGGATGACTTCAATGTTATTTTAGTACCAATGAATAGTTACTAATACTCCCATTTACTCTAACATCAAAATTTTTCATGCTACTGCTAAAATGAGGATTTTCACACTATCAACTAGTTTTCTCTCTATTGAAATCTTTTTTTATCTTGCACCTTACTCACTACTTGTTTCTAATATGATTTAAAAGTTAAACCAATTAATCAACCGATTGCATTTTTGTCTAACAAGTCTTTGTTTGCTTTCCTGACCAAATGTATATTGTTTCATTTCAAATCGTATATTATATAACGTTAGGCAGGTACACAATACATATCTTTATTGTAAATTTTCTCTTTCACCAATTTTAGGCTTCCACCAGAAAGACGTAGTCTTCGAGCTTATGTGTCAATTTTATATTCTGATCCACGTATGAAAGTATATTTACAAGGACGAAAAGTCCAAACTAAACGACTGCTAGCAACATTGCATAGTACTAGAAAGTACAATTTTGCAAGCAAAACCTTTCGTACTAGAGCTGAAGCAGATTTAGCAAAAGCTAAGAATGATGTGAGAATAGGTAAGTTGTGATAAATGCATTCGGAAATAAGACTTGATTTTCGACACATACTGCGTTATTCAAACGTTATCCCATATAATTCCTCTAATATAGATAAAACTATATTGTCTTGTTAATCCAAATCATTTTTATTTAGCACCATAAAACTTAATAAATCTTAGCTCGAACACATCAACCCCTTAGTGACTTCCAACGAAACATTCTCAAGTATAAAAACTGAAAACTGTGATATCTCCATCGCTTATCAATTAATCTTACCTGAAGTGCTATCAGTAGCTTGATTGGGGAGATTTTGTGGTTAAACTACTCCATTGAGCACATATCTTTTTGTGAAAGCAAACGACACTTGTACTCAACCTGAGAACTGTAGGTAAGAAGCGCCTCTTTCATCCAAGTGATTTTAAAAGCATAAGCTCCACAACAGATCGAATAAATATCAAAATGATTGTTGTTTTGGTATTGATATGTTTGGGCAAGAAGAAAACCTAAAGTTCAGATATTAATTGGTTGAAGTGTGCTGTCTATGAATTCAATGTCGTTTATGATATTTAAACTTGTTTATTCTTGTGTTCAGTGTTTTGTACATAAGCATGTTATTTTATCAAAAAAATTCTAATGGGCACTTGTTCTATCTGTTCAAATGAGGTTTCATAAACAATCACTAATCGATCGGTGCGTTGTATTCATTTGACAACCATAAAATCCTAATCCATAATAGCTATTCACAATGATATATAAAAAGTTGATCAATTTAACGGTTTAGTCGAAAAAGCACAAAAACATGAACAAATGCAATTTGCTTCTGGAATATTTTCCTCACACAGTTCCCTTACTGTGCACCAGCACCCGTATACTTTAACAACTGATGAGACTTGTATGTACAACTGGCCGATCTATGTGTATTGACCAATGTCGCATATGCCAAGTCCTTCGTACTGAACTAATTCTGTCGACTAAGTTACATAGTGCCCACTAGTTTGAGTGACTTGACATCGTATTCACTATGTTGACATGTAAGGTGGTGGTTTCGACTCCCTCCAACAACCAGTACATCTCAAAATGGTGAGATTTGTTCTAGTAGTTTACGGATTCTTTTACTAAAAGATGTGATTTAGTACATAATATATTGATAACCACACTTAGCAATTATATGTTTATGGTATAGTTAGTCTTTCCAGTGAACGGATTTTTTTGCATTAAACTAAGTTTTATAATAATACTAGTGTTCTCCAACTATATTATTTGTTTAGTAAAATGGTAGAGATGAGATGTTATTGTATCATGACTTTTTTCTGCTTGTACTTTATTCTTCTCCTTTAAGCTGAACTTAGAGCTCAGGAGGCGGAGAGCAAAGCGAGGGATTGTGAACTTCGTTACCAAGGTTCTGAGGATCCCGAACATTTGGTAAGTTTTGTGATTGAAACTGCATTTTGTTTACATATAGCTATGGCAAACTGTTACGGATAGAGATACTAGTCAAACTATATCTGTATTCAGAAGTGAAGTTTTTTACCACTTGTTAACCACATTTTACATTAAAGTCACTGTAGAATATTCAATTTAGCGCTTTAACCGGATCCCAAACCAATGGTGCACATGGGCTCCAGTGTCATGCGGGAACAAATGGCATATGAACCAATTTCTTGGTCACCGGCTACCATGGGACTGCATCTCCTCACGATGCTCCACTACCTTGTGGGTTAGACCTTTAGGTGAAAGGCTCAGGGTGTGTCCCCCTAAGAAAACCACCTGCTTCGGTCTGAGCACTCGGGCAGTATCTCAGCCCACACACAAAACATGATGTGTGGCGCATATATATTTGTTCAAATAAGTAAATAAATCAGAGGGTATAAATCCCAATTGTTAATTCATTCTTAAGGTTCACCTATATTTCATTCCATAATATTGCGTACTACTGATTTGTACTTTGCTAATAATGCTGTTAATAAAGTCGCCTGACAACTATTTTCGGAGGCTGGAAAGCCAGAATATACATAATTATTTGATATAATGATTCTTTTGGCTTTCACTATTTTGATAAATTATATATCAAAAACCCATATTCGAATTTTTTAAAAGTGATCAATTTAACAACCCCTTTTCGATGAATGTATTACTTGGATTATCAGAATAGTTATGAAAATTCAATTCAAAAAATGGTAACGGTCATCAAACACGATACTTTTTTCCTTTCAGCGTCAAATACGTCGTCTTCGAAACACCGCTGCCGACCTACGTGGGGCCGTAGCGATGCGACAGAATGTTGTCACGCGCAAACTAAAATCAATCAAGGATCCGAAAACACTGACATTTTATTTTGGTGTAAATGTTATGAACCGCGCTTGTGATGGTATGTTTGTTTATAATTGTTCCCGTCTAATCAAAATGTACCAACGTATTGGACCACAACAAGATTCAAGTATGATGTGCCGTGGTGTAGTTGGGATTGTCGATGTACCCTATATGGTTCTTGGTGAGTACTTATTCAAATAAGTTGTACCTGTATCTATAATATAATACTGGTCTTCAATGATTTGGGATTTAGATCACTGGTCTGTTTAACAGTTACGTAAATATGTTGTGCATTGACCGTGTGATTCCTAATACTCTATTGCATTATTACGTGAAAAACATTGCTTGACAGTCTTCATCAACGTGTTTCAGCTTCAATTTAATTTTATAAATCAAAATATTATGTGATATCTAACATACTGTATTATATAGGTTATGTAATTTGCAAAGATTTTTTTGTGAATTCCGAAACTAATGCCTACTGAAGAGCCACTGAAAACCACTAAGAGTTAAGCAGCTGTTTTGTCCTAGTTCGAGATTCCTCAACAGTATCAAACCCACGACCCTACACAATATAAAACCCATAATCATTAGGCTTCACGGCGATCAAGATATTTTAAATTACTCGATTGTATTCCAATCGTCTACATTATAAGATAACACTATCTTCATCTGATATCGCCATTGATAAACTTTTATTTCCGAATCGGTTGACATCATAGATCAGAATTACACATTATAAACAGTTCTCACTCCCTTTATATGAATAAATCATTAATTGGTTACTTCGGGATAGTTGGAAGAAAGTTAGGGGCGGCCAAACCAAAACGTGGCATCAGTGCTTGAAGTCACTAACTTCTAGTCTGAGCCATGTTGGTAGATGCAGACTATTTGGTTGGCGTCCGCGTGACTATCGTAACCAATGGTTAGAGACTCTTGGTGACATGGCTCAGAATCGATCACAATGGCGTCGGTGTATACACTCTCTGTCTTCCCTTAAACTAAGAGATTAAAGTTGCTTCATATCTTTCTTTCTACGAACTAATTCTTTCTTCCTGTACTATATCCTTATTGCAATCTTTCTTTTATATATTACTACCGTTGAATTAACTACTTTTATGAATCAGGTGTCCATCTTGTTGTGTTAATGAGGTATGGCAACTTGAACCAATGCATATATGTACCTAGTCCTACGTTGTAGCTGACTGACTGACTGGTTACTTGGCCGTTTATTATTTATTTCTTTATTTAAACATAAACATTGATACAAGAAGGCAACAAATACATATGCTCCACACAAATCATTCGATCCTTGTAAGGGCCCGAACACTGCTCGGGTGCCCAAACCGCAGCATGTGGTTTTCCTAGGGGACCATTTCCCAAACCTTTGACCTACAGGTCTAATCACAAAGCAGTGAAGAAACGTCAGGAGACGTAGTTCTATAGTAGCCGGTGGCCAATAATTGGTTCATACGCCATTTGTTCCATCAGGGTCCTGGAGCCCGCGTGCACCATTGGTTTGGAATCAGTTTTCCAACTCCCCTAGGTGAATCCTCCATATCCACCAACTATATTAATCATCGAACGATCAGTTGAGTGGAACTCGTCACTGTACATCAACTTCATCTATTATGAAAAGGCATTTGACAGTGTAGACAGGAGGACATTATGGAAACTCCTTCGACACTACGGAGTGCCTGAGAAGATTGTCAATATTATCCGGAACTCATACGATGGACTACAGTGCAAGGTCGTGCTTGGAGGACAGCTGACAGATGCATTCCAAGTAAGGACCGGAGTCAGACAAGGCTGTTTACTCTCTCCCTTCCTCTTTCTTCTGGTGGTCGACTGGATTATGAAGACCTCAACATCTGAAGGAAAACACGGAATACAATGGACAGCTCAGAATCAATTAGACGATTTGGACTTGGCAGATGACCTAGCCCTCCTATCACGTACACACGAACAGATGCAGATGAAGACAGCCAGTGTAGCAGCAGTCTCTGTATCAGTAGGCCTCAGCATACACAAAGGGAAAACTAAGGTCCTCAAATTCAAAGCGGAGAACAGCAATCCAATCACACTTGATGGCGAAACTCTGGAAGATGTAGAGTCCTTCACATACCTGGGAAGCATCATCGATGAACAAGGAGGATCCGATGCAGACGTAAAGGCGAGGATCGGCAAAGCAAGGGCCGCTTTCCTACAATTGAAGAACATATGGAACTCAAAACAACTTTCAACCAATATCAAAGTAAGAATCTTCAATACGAACGTCAAGGCAGTTCTACTGTATGGAGCTGAAACTTGGAGAACTACAACAACCACAATCAAGAAAGTACAAGTATTTATAAATAACTGTCTACGCAAGATACTCAACATCCATTGGCCGGATACCATCAGAAACAGCCTTTTGTGGGAGAGAACAAACCAGCTTCCAAGTGAAGAGGGAATTAGTAAAAGAGGATGGAAATGGATAGGACATACATTACTCAAATCATCAAACTACGTCACGAGGCAAGCCCTAACTTGGAATCCTGAAGGTAAACGGAAAAGAGGAAGGCCAAAGAACACATTACGTTGGATGATAGAAGCAGATATGAAAAGGATGAATAACAACTGGAAGGAGCTGGAAAGGACTGTCCAGGACAGGGTTGGATGGAGAATGCTGGTGGTTGGCCTATGCTCCTTCACGAGGAGTAACAGGCGTAAGTAAGTAAGTAACTAAGTAACCAACTATATTGTTTCAATTCACTCACATCACAACAGAATGTTGTCCGCGTCATCAGAAAAAATGTCTAATATAGTTCTACAGATGATCTCAAAAATAAGCATAACATTATTTCCTTTTTTTCTCTCAACTTTTTTGCTTTTCAAAATTTTTTATTCCGTCAGAACCTACACATAACAAGCAAGATTTTGCTGATGCCAAAGAATATCGTCAACTTATGCGTGCAATGGCGGATCATTTAATGCAATATTGGGATGACCTTGGGATTGATAAAGAACCAGACAGTTTAATACGATTCTGGAAAAGTTTTGGCTATCTGTCAGCACGCTGGAGAGACCCACCTAGTGTAGAGGAAAAATATGCTCGTCGTCGATGTTGTTCTGTCTCCATTTGTGTTCAGTGTGGTAATCAGATATTTTTGTTGAGTTTAATTTTCCCTGATGAGTGTATAAGCCCATTTACACTTATAGTACATCTACCATTTTCACTGTGAAGCTTCACGAAATTAATTTGCCGCTTATTGCGTAATTTACCTCTTCAACCTCTAAATTTCCACATTTTTGATCTTAGGAGCAAACTTTTAGTGTAAACTCCAGTCGTTTTAGTCAGTATTTTATTTTATCGACTGCACCGTATATTTGTTCTCATTTAGATATAATGATAGTTCCGTTAAAATATCTCGTTTTTTAGTTTTCGGTGATCCCATGTTAACAAAGACTTAAATCAACCTACGAACTTGCTTTTCGTTATTAATGTGTAAAGTCTTCAAGAAAATGGAGAAAAACTGCGGAAAAAATTAAGAGGACATTGTTTATGACATAGTTCAGTTAGTCACAACCTAGAACCTGGTATGTAAGTACATCGATTCAAGTCGCCATACTCCTTTAGTACACCGAGATGAAATTCTCAGGCTAGATAAAAACAGATGAAAAGTTAAGAGGAATTAAGAATCTCAGAGTTTGGGGAAAGACAATGTGAAAACATCTGCTCCGTTGCAAACGATGTTGAGCCGTGCCATTCAAATTCTAACAATTTGGTTACGATAATCACTCTAACACTAACCAGCTGCTCTGCACCTATTAACATGGCTCAGTCCAATTGTCAGTAACTCGATGGACTGATGCCATGTTTGGGTTTGGCCTCCTCTGTCTTCTTACAGCCTACTTCTACACCAGAAATCATCACATGTTCTGAGCCAGACAGGATGAATTTTTGAGCATTTATCAGTTCTGTGGGCGCCGATAAAATCCACTGATTTGCCCTAACCTTTTAGCTTAAGGTATTAGTAGATATCACTTCTGTTTCCTTAGCTTTTCGGATATCATACCAAGCCACCTCGGTGTGGTTATCATTTCCATAGTTGACTAGCTGCTCTAGTTGTTGCTGAAATATATTCTTAACTTTTTTCATCATTAAATTGAACTCTAAAGAGTTTTCTTGCTGTTGCTTTTCTACACCGAGCAAGACGCAGACAAATACGTGCTCAAACTAGAGCACGATCTGAGTGTAAATATATGCTGTAAAATGAACGATAGTCTTCAATAGAGCTCCTCCGACGATGGCTCATAACAATATACTCTATTTGATTCCATCGATGAGTTGATTTTAAAGGTTGCCATGTCAGACAACGTTCCTCCTTATGTTTGAGGATGGTGTTTGCCGAAAATGGATGGTTATCTGAGCATAGTTTCAACAAACGGTCGCCACTATCTGTTCTCTGAGCCTCAACACCATAAGATCCGCTCAAGTTCCTTTCAGTTTGGTTTAGTTTATGTAATTCAGCAATAAAATAATCTGTAACTATAACGACATCATAGCGTTTAGCTTTTAGATGGAGGTAGGATAACTTCCCATAAAATCCATCTTTAACTTCATCCGACCTGCAATTAATAATGGCGCAAGCATAGGTAACGAAAAGGCAACGGCGTGCGTCCCTATCTTTTTGAGTTCTTACTGTTCCATTTGGTCGAACAGCTCACAAGCGACCCTCTAATGGAATCGAGTCTAGATCTTATTCTGCTTTATAACTTAGTGCTACATCTACACCTGCGAGGTTACCTGAAGTAGCAGCGGGGTCTCCAGGGCAAATTGTGCCGGTGCTTTATATTCACAAGGTGAGGTCAAGTGAATGATTGTACTTGGATCTTGAATGACAAAATATGAAGTAGTCATGTATGTATCTTTATCCTTCTTTCGTTTTCATAACTCTTCAACCAAAAGACGAAAACTCTGTTGCTCAGTTATCACTGGTTTTGGTTTAGTATTGTCTCTGACATTATCTTATTCAGCTTTATGACTAAACGTAGCACCGCCAGTAGATATCTATCTTTTTCATTCCACAGTATCACATAAAACTATCTATCTTTCAGGCTTCGCAAATCAATCCTGGCGTTAGTGAGCTGCACAGAAGCAGTTTTTCAAATGATGAATTACTGGATAATTTTAAATGGAACTAAACTTTAAATTTATTTTAAAGAATCGAGGCAATTATTTCGACAAGATTTATCTGCTCATTTTAACAATTTTGTTGTATATTATAACACACACTAATCCGAATTTGAAATCGTGAAGTATGTTTTAAAAGAAATGTCGTTTCCTCATTTATACAGCTGAATGTCTGTCAGGTAACTGGTCAGCAAGGAAAACATACTAAGTTGCTTATCTGCGGTAAACACACAGAAGTTTGGTGTTTACCAAAAGCAGATGACCATCAATGAATGTTCCCACTAATTTGTTAGAAATTTACATTTTTATTTGTCGATACAAACATCTTGTGTAAAATATCCTAATCTACACTTTCAAGTTCTTATATAATACCAAAGTATGTGTCGCAGCTTTGAATCTTCTGCTTCGTTAGTATCTTTGTTTGCCTGCCTTTCTAATGTCTACCAGTTTTAAATTCTTATAAAGGGATCATTTCATCTTGTGAAATGACTGGTGGACATAAAGTTCATTCATTTTTGGTTTAGCATGGTGCAAATATTTGTCTTTAATATATCGATATATTGTGATACTTTCTATTTCCTTATTTTTACAAAGCATTACTATTTTTCAACAAATTGTAACACTTTTCGATTGAGTAACCTGTATGCATACGCAGTAGAACACGGTATTCCTACTTGAAAAATGCATTCAAATCGGAATCATTCTAAAGGATATTTTATGAGGTTTCGTATTACTCTCTGTACAATCTATCCAATTTTTTTATGTTTTTTCCTCTAACCGACCACGTATGAATTACCCGTGTTTTTATGAGTTTCAACATTGTATAGTTTTTCATCTTTCAGATAAATGCTTAAAATGGAGAATACTTCCATTCTCACAGAGCCTTGTCGGACGCGATGTTCCAGATAATTGGCAATGTCGTGATAATCCAGATCATAAACATAAAAGGTTGTTGCATCTATTTCGTTCACCAATTTCTTTTGATAAATTTCTTTCACTTCATATTACTGATATGTAAAATTAGTAATTTTTGTCAAGCTACTCTATTAGTCCAAACTGGTGTGTATTTGTGTTTGTACGTACATTCCAACATTATCAACATATTAGAATTCTGTGGAGTGTTGGTTGACAGTTTCTGATGTAGTTTGGTGATTCATTGTTAAAATTAATAGGAAAAAAAGTAAGAAACTAACAAAATTCAAGTATATTTGATGCTTTTTAATTACTACTGTAGTGAACGAAGACCTGGTGAGGATAACCAATTTATTGCTTAATGTACAATCATATAGTGGTTTAGTAAAATGTGAAAATCGCATATCTTTAAATAGTCTCTTACAAGCTTCATTGTTCCTTCATTCCTGTTGTTATATTGATCGCTTCCAGTTTCCTTCTCTCTTTTGATTTCAATCTTCTCAACCTTCTGCTCACAGATATTCCACTTCTTACTGTTACATACTACTTATATCTGTCAACATAAGTAGCATACACCACACTACAATCCTTAAATTAACTTTACAAATACAATATATCTGGTTTTATTTTATGAATATCATTCACAACTCAAATTCCCATTAGCTCAATAGAATAAATTGACACAATATATTACAAGTACACTTTATAAATCTCAACAAAAATCCAAAGCATGATTGTAGTGTTATACACCTAAACAACTAAGTATACAACAATAAATGACTTTAAGATACAAGACTCAAAATTTATTTTATAATAATCTTTTCCAGGGATTATTCACTTGCTAATGAAATTGTATTTACTGTCTTTTGAATTCATATGAAACTATTTGTAGCGTAACATTGTACATTCATTAAGGAACTCTGGTAAAAATTAGCTTTAGATTGACGTTATTCTTAATTAAAAATTAGATTACTTTCAAATAGATAAGAAATTATATAATCTCTACGATGTTTTATTAATAAAACAAGTTTGTATTGTCATATACAGAATATTGAACTGGTGACTGGTTTTAACATTTGGTACTCCATTTTATGCTTCAGTTTCAAACTTCACTTCACACACCGATTATATTAACGTACACCTGGTTTCTAAGTTAATTTGAATTGATGTACTGGGAAAAATACACATAATTTAGATTCATAATACAATATCTTCGTTTCATATCGACCAAGACTCAAATAAGCGTTTACACCTTGTCCACTGACTTTGTGGATGTAGATTTTTAACATTCCTGTAATAGTCTTAATCGATTCTTCTGTAACCTAACTTCCATCTCTCACCTTTTCTTAATGTTTCATAACATCATAGTATCACTATTTTGATGCCCTCGGTGTACTGATTTTTAAAAATAAATTACTCTGAAGTAAAAAGCTGTTTAGCTTTTATTAAAAAGAATGTTTTTAACGATCCCTGTTTTATTTATCAAGCGTCGATACTAGGCGTTAAAACACTTATGTTTAACTAGTTGGCTGCTTCAACTCTCAACTTTTCTAATCAGGACACCCTTACAATTTCTTCAAACGGGGGCGCATTTGATGGTCTTTGATTTATATATACATACCATGTAGGGTTTGGTTACTGAATTTAGTCAATGACTAATTTTTGACTAACTCATTGACCTAGGCTACCAGTTGTTTGCTAAAGCAACGTAATGTTTATTCGTCTAATTTTTCTTTGTCCGATAAATTAATAAAGTGATGTTAACGTTTTCCTTGTTTTATCTACTCTCTTGCTTTCTGATCTAAACATTGTTGGTCAATTATCACTGAAGATGTGAGGATCCTGAAGAAGATATGAGCCCACCAATGGGTGTCTTAAAGAGGAAAATTAAAACTAAGGAACAAAGACAGGCAGAACTCGAAAAACAAATCCGTAAAAAACAGGTAAGTATCTATTCATACTGGGTATTTACATCGTACATTTCATTCAGTTAATAGAACTTGTTTAGACATAACTCATATGTTAATAACATTTTATTAAGTCTGCTAATTGAACTCTCGGTTCGATTTTCTAGCCGCCTCTAATAACTTCAGACTAAATCTATATAGCAACTTGGACAGAAGAGAAAAGGTGCAAAGTGCTAAAAAACTTGTACTCCAATGCACGGAAAACCGTGTGTATTCATACTCTTTAACCTGGCCTAAGCAGTTCCAAAAGCATACCTTATATGATAATAAGATAACTACCCAATCAAAAGTGAAAAAGGATCTGTCATCATTCTAGATGTTTTAGAAAAACGTTTACTCAATACCGGCTGAATAAAATGTTTCCAAGTGCTTTCTAGACCCACTGACCTTTCTGAAAAGTATTTTGGAACTGCCTAATGCATTTAGTTTTAGTTTTTTTATGTTTTGATGCAACAAGTTATTTAATTTGCTCTGAAAGTGTATCTGTCTAAGGATGATTCATTTTGAACGCTCTTATATGTTACTGTATTCATGATCACGCTTTGATTTTTGACGATATTTCATTCCATTTTATCCGTATAGGAAGAACTTGAACTTATTCAAGATCCTGATGATGAAAAAGCTGACGATTCCAGTGCCACTACTCGTAGTGGTCGCTTAAGTGGCTCTGGGAGTTCAGCTCTCTCAAAATCTCCTCGTAAACGCCCACACCCGCCTCCAGCTATCTCGGATCTCCCCAACAAACGGTCTACTCAATCCTCTTCCATTTCTCGAGCAATGACTGTTGCAGATAAAAAACGTCAAGCTGGATTGTCGTCATCAAATGGCCCTGTATCGTTATCATCCCAAAAACGTACTGGTTTACCACTACCTACAAGTAACCAAAGACAACCACGCCCCAGTGGTCTAGTCCCTAAAGCTCAACAACGGAATTCAACTACCCCTAAAGTAAGTTGTTGTAATATATTATTATTCTCCAATAACAAATGTTACTGATAGATTTGTTCCATGTCTACTCTTCTGTATCGAAACTCATTCAGTTTTTAAAAGTTACAAATTGAAATTCCAGTTTGTAAAAGCTGCTTGTTTTCTGGATTTCTATTATCCCAGCCAATTAATGTTACTATTTGTTAATTAAAACACATAACACCTTCTACTCTTAACCAAGCAAAGAAATGAAGTTTTCTTTTCTTCCCTAGACCCAACTAACCTCAACGAAGTCAAAATGTTGAATAGAAAATAAATCCACCAAAAATTTGATTCAATTGTATCTTACAAATGTATTTACAAAGTCCTTGTAAGTTCAGCAATAAATTAGTTTACGGAAAGCATAAGCAATCCATTAGGAAAATACTATCCTTAATGTAGATAAAAGTGGAAACACACTATAAAGTGTGAAATGATTTCTAGCTGCGAGAAAATGTGTAGAGTAAGTTATAAAATCGGAGATCCTACAATTTGCTTTAGGGAATCTCATCAAAATGTAGGGTCTTCTGTTCGCTTTGAGCAATAATGCAAACATGTTTAGAATGTGTTTCTCCCCCTCTCAATGTAAAATATCGCTTCAGTATTGGTCTGAATCAACGCCTAAGCAAACGATAGGAAGTAAGATAGTTGTGTGTCGACCGCTTCACTTATTTTGGAAATCTCAACAGCCCTGTTGGGTTGGTTCCTGGGAAAATTTAAACATGGATTCTGAAAGCTCAGTTTTCTTTTACCAACTTGCGTTATTTGTAGCATTGGTGAGATGTAAATCTACCAACCGAAGGACGAGTCTACTACGCAACAGTCCGCTCTATATTACTCTATGGTCATGGAACAGTCGAACAGTAGAAGGCATGTATACACTGCAAGTTCTTGATCATAATTGTCTTCCAATTATTGGTTGCATTTCGTGGAACAGTCAAGAGGGCAATGTCGGGGTTAGGCGGAGTCGGACAATCGGTCCATGGGGTTGTGAGCCGACTGATGTATTGCGTATGCCTAACAATGACTTACATCGATGGACAACGTCAGATGGTGTGGGAGTGGATCGGGAGAATGCTAGGGGCGTGCAAATCAAAAGAGTGAGATCAGTGTATAAAGTCATAAACTGTTGGTCTACTCTATGTTTGCAGATGCAGGTTAGCTGGTTGGGGACCGCACAATGATTGCTACCAGTGGTTGTAGAGTTTGTATGACATGGCTCAGAATCGGTCAAAACTCCGCAAATATCAATACCGTTTGTTTTCTACTAGACCAGGAATTCTACTATTTCTTAATAAGTACTTCTTCGTTTTGTTTTTTCAAACGACATTGTCAATATTTTGCCTTTCTCATTGTCCTTTCCGGTGTATTATTTCAAGTCATTCGCTTTTCATTTTGGTAATTTCACCCTACCGCGTTAATTTAATCTGGTAACTGTAGTCAATGAATACTTGAGCTAAGCGCTAAGTTAGGTATGACTGACTGATAAGTCGTAATCTGTATTTTAACCTTTTTTACGCTCCCTTATTTATCAGTGTAGGTGTAGAAATTCGAACTTTTCTACTTTTTTGTTTAGGGTCGTAAAGTCACAACAGCAGAAAGTGAAAGCAGTGAAGAAGAAGAAGAGACAAGTGATGATGGTGAAGAAGAAGAAGAAAAAGAAATCTCTAAATCTATTTCTCGTAACAAACAAACTACATCCTCCCTTCCAAAAGTAAATAATTCCATTTCTGTAGTGAGTTTTGTTTTTCATTTTTAAATTCGACGTGTACATATAAATCGCTTAGTATATGTTTGTCTATGTTGTTGTTGTTCATTATGTGTTATATGATTTATCGTTTTTATTGCCTGTAATGTTATTTACCGTTGATGTTAAATTCCACAGACAGTATAAAACACTCAAAGTAAACTGAAAATTGTCGAAATGAAATGGATTTACATTCTAATCTACAAATGATGGATTGGAATAATCGTTATTTCATTGATATGCCTGCTAAACATCGCATTCTTAATATTGTACTCTACTGACTTTCACTTAGTATCCATCCAATTCTTGCTGACTATCTCCAACAATTTCATTATAATCACTTTTCTACTCTATGTAGTCGAATTACTGTAGAAAATTTCCTAAATATACACTATTAACAGATCGACAATGGTAATCTAGCAGTCAACATATTATTTTCCTTTATTTAAAGTTTGTCAGTTTTGTGAGCAAATCGTTTATATCTAATACGTCCGATACTGAAGTATACATAACGGATTTCTGTTAATCATCTATTATCAGTGGTGCACTTACATAGGATTTATTTTGTT